CAACCGGCGCCGGCGGAGAGCGGGCAGTGTCGAGCGAGCCGTCAAGGTGTGCGTGCCGTCCGAGCCGGCAATACTCGTATATGTGCAGAGCGGTGCGTGTCGTGTCAGTGCGGACTGAGGATCCGGCGGGCGCAGAACAGAACACGAATGACGTCACGCAAGGTCAACAATGCAAAGGTGAGGCAAAAATGACTTCAATTGAACTTTCAGTAACCAGTGATGTCACTAGGCAGTTTTACCACGCCATTTGTAGGCTCTCTTCCGAAATCACAATTTGAAACCATTACGGTGACGCAAAATAAGTACATTTATAGAAAGAACACCTTCCGAATTTTTTGCATAATACTTAATAATGATCCAAAATGTTTTTAAGCAAATAAAAATTCAAAAAAAAAAATTGGTCCCAAAGGCATAAAAATGCAAATGAAAGGAAACTCGAAGTGTTATATATCAAAAATAGTTTATATTTCAAAATTTTAAAATGCATATTATTCTTTGTTTCAATGCAAGTTCAATGTCGTATAGCATTTGGTATTTGGATTATCCGTCTTAGAGTTACATTCCGCCAAACTTGGCGCTGCAACGCAAGATCCAAAACATGTTATACACATAACTCAAAAACTACTCATCTGATAAGCCTGAAATTGTTACAGGAGGATTCACAGTCCCTGATTACCCCTTAGACCAATTATCGTTAAAATCCGAGAGATGAGGGTGTCAAATTGGAAAAAAGTGGTACGATCTATCGTGGAATGCCCCAGGGGTCACGTGACGGGCCAATACGCGGCGGTGCCCAGGGGCCAGGTCCCAGTAAAATTACATTGCTGTGACGGCGGTGTGTGAACAATACGTAACCCGCGACAAGGGGTCATCAATTTCGGGACACCCTGTACTCCACTGAAGGATTTACGGAGCCGAGTTTAACATAACGAGGCAACGACAAGTATCCTAACTCCAAGTAACTCCAAGTATCGATATTTTGTTAAGAGACCATATTAGCGAAAATTGGCGCTTGAGCTGAAATGTGCTTTGCGAAAATTTGAAGCCCATTGGATAAATATTAAATAAATTATCGCCGAAAAACAGGGTCTCATGGGGTCTGAAATGCATAGTAGAAACACTTTGCTCAGAGGCGTTTGTAAATAATTTATTTACAAAAACTAATTCAATGATATTTGAAATTAACAAACACATTTTTACTCCCAATCTCAAACAAAAGTTGAATTTATTCGCGTTTCATTAATTTAATCAGCTGGCAACCATCTCCCATCGTCCTCGATGTAGTCGAACTTGGCGCACTCGGATAGTGTTCGAAATTTGTGACGCTAACTTGTTGCTTTGGCGACCGGGCAGTAGCTAAGCTTTTCATTCGTCAACAAGTGCTTGCGGAGCTGTCGCTCACTTTTTTTTAACACAGTCTTTATGCGTCACTTTGTGTGACGCGTCATATCTGAAACATGTTTCGTGAGGCTCATGAACCATTTAATTTATCTCCTTCAAGGAAGTGTTTTGTAACATTTTCGATATGTTTTTTGAGCTTAAAGGGACTATCCCACCTTCAAAAAAGTACCATTGAGGATTCGGAAATGTTACTCATGATATTGTGACGAATTCTGAAAGTTTTTACGCGTTTTCATCGTATACTTTTTGAGATATTGCGACTTTTATCTTTCATCGTGACGTCATTTAGATCAGATCTGTGACGTAATGAAGGATTTACTTCATGTCAATGTGGGGGAAATTTGGCAGCAAATATAGGTATTTGCTCTCAAATATGACGCGGCTCATGCAATAATAAAATGTCTCTGATTGGCTTATTCGAAAATCAAGTGATACTTCACTTAAATGCGTAACAGGCGTTCAAAAGGCAAATGACGTCATCATATTGCCGTTAATGGTTAAGAGATTGGGACTTGCACAAGGAACATTTTCAAATGAAGGGAACGAATTTCTTCAACATCACGAGGCTGCGGGGGTTGCGACCAAGATACAGCGTGTCCCAGAATTGACCGAACACTGTAAATCAGCGCATAAGATAAGGGAAAAATAATTGCACTTTTTTCTTTTTATCGCCCAATATAGCCAATAACGGAAGCTTCGAAATGGCACATGCAATAGACACGCTAGCTACAACATTAGCCGACAATTGTAGCTAAATGCCAGACGATGCTGGCTTCAGTTGTTTTACGGGTCTCCCGAAACTAGTTGTAAGCACGGACGTATAATTAAACTTTTTAATAAAATTTAATTTAATTTAATTTAATTTTTTTTTGCACGTGCAGAGCGCACCTTTGGGGTCCACCAGGAGATAGATATGCTCAATAACTTTGCTGGAATGCATTCTGGATGGCCTGTGTAAATTTGGCACTTTGAGCTTGCTCGCGCTACCCGCTCTGCCCGTATATGTGACACAGAGTGCAAAATCAAAAGGTGTGCACGTGCACAGCACGTGCACCGTGTACCCCAGCACATCTATTTGCACAGCGCCTTAAAGGGACCCTCCCACCTTCAAAAAAGTTAATGAATTGGCATGAAAGTGATGTCGCTCGGTTCAGAAAGAGCAAAAACGAATATCTACCAAATTCCATCGAAAAATACTCACCGGTTTTCAAGATATTAGACTTTTACTTTTGTTTACTTTTTGGGATCTCCGCTGTTCCTAGCGACTTTATTTGAAAGTGCGGCATTTGTTGCGCGCAAAGCAGCATGTACCACCGCGTGCTACAAAACGTTTTAGTCAAACATTAAACGGACGTTCGAAAGCCTGATGACGTCATCAGATTCCCGTAATGGTTAAGAGATAGGGACCAAGCTGGTCCCACCCTGCAAGTAAAGGGAAGAAATTTCTTGAACACCATAAAGCTGCGGGGGTTGCGACCAGGATAAATGGTGGTTTCTGAGCCTGGCCGCAAACTTGGCTATCTCAACTCAAAACTAATGTTAAGGTGGGAGGGTCCCTTTAAAGCGCTCGTCCAGTAGTGTCAGTGTGCCAAATTTGGTGTGCCTAGGTCAAGGTTTTCCGGAATCGGAGGATGCATCCTCAAAACATGTTTTTCGCCCCTGGCGCGTGCATTCCGCACCCCCTGCTGCCGAGCATACCATATGGTAATGGTCAAACACCGGGACATGTGACCTGTGAATTTGGCACCTGTGCCGTCCACTGTTTAATTTGGAGCGTCGCTTAAAGGTTTTTGCCCTTCCCGACTTTGTCGGCACGTGGCACGCGCCACGTGACACCGAATGACCTGTGTCATGCATCATCACCTGCCTCAAAGCATTACCCATCGAACGGTACCACCAGCATCTCGATCCGATCATCCGTTTAGACGCAATTCCAATTGTAATGGTTCGATGACCTTTCAGAGCACGGGTTTTTGGCAACGTAAAATGGCGCCTTGTCGGCTTCACTATCTTCCATAGGAGGTCCATTGGGATCGTCAGTCCAGTTTATTTATACGTCCGTGGTTGTAAGACAGTTTTCATTGACCTCTTGCTGGTGGATACTATAAATATTTTCGATTAACTTTGCATCCAAACTGTTCCCAGGCCATAAGGCATTCTCTCTCAAAACCAAAAATTCTGCCTACACCACTGTTGCACTGTTTTTTGAAATCTGAAGTGGAGAACCTCCATTCCTGAACATGGTGTGACCTTTGGCTTCCAACAGATTTGGTTTCCAGAACAAACCCGTTTATGGCCATTCAGTTCACGACAACCAGTTTTTTTGTAATGCTTGAATAATATTCAAGCGTGGCCGAATATTACCGCAGTAGCAATCTGTGTTAACGGTCGTCTTTGGGGCATCACGTGAAGCTGAAGGAGCGCACCGTGGCTCAAAATGTCTCACACTTTGATTTTCGACGAGTGCCTGGCCGTCTCGGCTGTTGGGGCGTTGTCACCATCTGCCGTCCACACACGACTTTTTTGTGTCGCTTCAAAGGGCAGAATACCTTCGTAAGACCACAAAGTGTGTTTCCATTCACTTTTTTTGTTGCATATGTTATGATTTATGGCTGCTCTGTAGCGATTTGCGCTGTCTTTCCGTTAGTTTTGGCATATTTTTCAGATGAGGGGCCCCAAATTCCAAAATTTTGTCAAAGACAGTGGTCAAAAGTAGACTGATGTTTCGTAGCTAACCCTGATCTGCATCGCTTAGCCTGTTTTTGGGTAGATGGGTGGCGTTTGTTGTTCATGACACGGCAACAACCCGCTTGACGACTGGTGCATGCTCCTTTTTGGTTGCGCCCAGGCTTGTCGATCAGGTTATCTCTTGCTCTCTCTGGCTTCGCTCGCTGATATAACTGCGGTTTGCTCATCCCTGCCTGCTTGCAAATGAGCTACTGGAGCTCTCCAGCAAGAACCATGCCGAAAGTTCGTTTACGAACTTCAGAATTGCACTTTATTCACCATGATTGCCTTTTGTTTGCTGAGGCTGAAAACAAAAAGGGACTACTCTTTGCTGACTCTGGATAATAACTGACTCGAGTCGTGACCGGTCACCAAAAACACAGTCTCCAAGCTCGATAGCTAAGGCATGTCTTATAGAAGTATAATGCTCGTATCTAATTAGAATCGAGCGCAATTGTACTTTTAGCCAGGAAATAAATGTTCGGTCAATTCTTGGACACCCTATACATAGAGTGTAGATAGCGGTTTCTGAACCTCGTCGCAAATTTGGCTATCTCAACTCAAACCTAATGTAAAGGTGGGATAGTCCCTTTAATTGCTAGCTCCATTCATCCTTTCTTGCGTGAGGATAGTCATCACTCGGGGACCAGTCGTTGAAAGCAAGAAACATCGACGAGGAGAAGATCTTGTAAAAAGCAGCGATTGCATTGAGCATTAAATGACGAAAATATTTTTACCCCCCACCGCCTCAGGCGATCACGTGCCGTCACCCACCTGGGTATGGAGTCGTGAAGTAATATGTTGGGCATGGTCGAGATTGTCGTTGTGGAGACGGTGGAGACGAGCTGACTGGGCTCTAATTCCTGTTACAGACGAGAAGACGCGTTAGAAGATCTGGCCGTGCGGCCCATTACGCAGTTTCCGGTCTCACTTCAGGACGAGGTCAGTGCTTTGTTAACTCACGAGCCGCTGGGGAGCATTCAGTTGCCTCCCCCCCCCTTGTGTTTTGTGTGATGTCCGAAACCTATTTGAGGAAAGTGGTGGTTGTAGCACTTAAGATGACGTCACAGTGACGTCATTAAGTTTTGTCATTTTCTGAATGGAGCGTTTCTGGTTTCACTGGGCATGAAACACAACACAACGGCAAATGAACTAAACAGCGCCTCTTGTTATCCTGACACATCAAAGCATCCTTTTAATTACTTCTTGATCATCGGTCCTATATATAGGATATATCCTGAGGAAATTAACCCTTGCCGGCACAGGGGGGATTGATGCACCCCCCCTAAGGTTTTTCGCAAATAACTCGCGTAAAAAGCGGCCGATTGCGACGAAACTTTCAGTACCCTCGCATTGATCAATTTTACACCTACCCTGAAAATTTCATGACCTGACCCAAATGACCTTTGACCTGTGACCTCTTTTCCGAGACCATGTTTGGCCGGAATCGCGATTCGGCGTGTGTCGGCTCGCATTAGCCGCGCGTTTGCAAGCTTTTCGTGGTTTCAAACGTTCAAACATGTGATTTAATGTTGCTCTCATGCATTAGGGTGGGTGTCAAGGTTACCTGAAGGTCAGGTCAGGTCATTGACCTTTGGTGACCTCGGTTCACTTTTTCGAGTTTTACATGTTTCTAGGCTAGTTTTTGGAGCTGAATTCGAATTTAGCAACATTTGCGAAGTAGTTTTGGTGCCTTCGTAACATGTTACGAAGCTGTCAGAGGCGGATGACAGGTACTACGAATACCCGTCACGACCCCTACCGGTTGACCTGACCTGACCTGACCCGACCTGGTCTAAACGCTTAACGACATCATCTGTGATCAAAACTAGCAATATTCGTGATCAGCACCCCGGAAAACCCCTTAGCAGCCACACTTTACGACTTTCTAACAGGTCCCGACATTCCCGATTTTTGGGTCATTGACCTGACCTGGAAGGTCAACCGATGACCTAGGACCTTAAAATTGGGTATCAATGGAAGTCATTTTCTTCATTAAACGGTTGTTTCTCTATGTGGCGATCACTTATGAAGCACGCTACACTTCCCAGCCAGCCTTCCCAAGTGGGGCCCACATGGGCCCCAAGTAGGCACCAATCTGGGACCCATCTGGGCTGCCCACCTTGGACCCAGATAGGAATGTCATAGGCGTCCAACTGGGTTCCATCTGGGCACCCCAGACGGGGCCCATGTTGGACCCATCTGGGGCCCGTATTGAGTCCCATATGGGCTTTCCCAGTTGGGACCCACATGGGCAGCCCAAGTGGGGCCCATATGGAACCCAGCTGGGATATATGTATGTATATGGGTCCCACGTTCCACGATAGATCGACCAAAAAAATCGCGAAATAACACCCTACCTCTCATATTTTGACGAAATTTCGTCTTTGGGGTTATCTTTCCCGGCGATTCGTGTTGTGACATTTTCAGTCTCATTCGTCGAATACTTTGGGAGATATTGCCCCAGGCAACTTAATGGCTACCATAAAAAACTCAGTTTCATCCGCAGATAGTTAGCTAAATACCCATTGGATTCATATAAAACTGCATATCATCACAATAAGAATTAACCAAAGATGTTTTTGATATTAATCATTTTTGACAATTGTGACTTTTTATTTTTTAGCATAAAATTGATTTATAAACATCAAATTTTGAGAACATGGCCAATGGCCATCTTTTTACAATTTATTTTTGCAGCAAAAATATTATCAACGCATTGACTTTCAATGATGAAAAAATTAAAAACATGTTTTTCCCCTAAAGTTCGCTATACAACATTGAATTTCGTCGTACAGTGGAAAAAATAACAATAACTGTCAACCGGTCTGAACGGAGTACGGTCAGTAGTCACGCCCCTGGCAATGGCAATCAATTACCTTCAAATGCCGCATTTTGGTACTCATATACTTTTTGGTGGCAAATTTATTCATTAAAATTACTGGAAGTCCATTATTACAAGGACAGAGCGAACTTCATGCGATTACTAGCTAGAGCCTTCTCCTCATTTGACTCTAACACAGCCTCGGCTCTTATGAACGGAAGTGTTGTAGGTATGTCCGGCCACAACGCTCGATTCACAATTTTAATAATTCCTAACGTTTCATTGGCGGATCCAGCCGGACGTTTTCTCTTGGGGGGGGGGGGCAAATGGCCAAAATGGCCCCGCCCCTTCCTTTCCATGCGCCGCCATAGGCGTAATGTTGAAACTCGGGTTTTTTTTTTGGGGGGGGGGCAAACGGGCTTTGGCGGGGAGCATGGCCCTACCTTGGTTAGGTAACGTTTCATCAGTGCAAGCTGCTTAGAAGCATATCAGAATTACATGTGAGGCAGCCGATATCAGTGCTCAGCTCAAAATTAATTTTTGCCCGTCATGGAACAATGTTCGAAACTACAGCGAAAGTGAAGCAAAAATCATTCAATAACCGCATGCCTGTTGTTTAAGTGTGAGTGCCAGGCTTTTATTTCTATTTTTCATGAAACAGTTCAAGGGTATGTGGGTAAGAGAATGATTAGCTCTGGAAGGCATCACCAAATGTTCCGTTTTACGACAAACATTGTCGTAAAAAAATATATAGAAAGTTAAAGGCAAAACATGTCTCCAAAAACATGGGAGTGTTCCAGGGATCCGCCCTCGGTTCTCTCCTGTTCACCATCTTCGCCAACGACCTCAGCCTGCACGCGCCGGACGCTCATGTGACCCAGTACGCTGACGACACCCAGATCCTTCTATCCGACACCAAGCGTAACCTTCCTCACCTTATCCAACGCATGGAAACCACACTATTCGCCCTGTCTTCATGGTTCCATGCGCATGGACTACAGCTCAACGCAGCCAAAACTGAAGTCCTTCTCCTCGGTACCCGGCCAGAACACACGAGACATACTCCCTGTCAGCGTACGGGTCGGTGGGAGACCGTCCAGGAGAGCCAGACTGTGAAAAACCTTGGCATGCTTTTCGACCGTCATCTCACCTGGGACGCGCACGTCAGTGACGTGGTCCGTCGGTGCATTGGCCTCCTGATCGGTCTCCGCCACCTGAGGATTTTCCTCCCGCGGGAGGAAAATCGTTGCGAACCGTTGTAGACGGTCTCGTCCTCTCGCGCGTGAGGTACTGTATTTCGGTGTATGGTGGTGGACGGTGGTACAGCGAGAAACGACGCACGATTGCTTAGCGTGATCAACTTCGCGACCAGGGTGATCACCGGTCTCAGGAAGTATGATCACGTGTCTCACGCGCGAGAGGACCTAGGACTGCATGGTCCCCGACAGATGTGCGAGATGTCTACGATGGCTGTGGCCCCTAAGGCGATTACTTACAATGAGCCGGAAGACATCGCATCTCTTTTTTGTGACTTTCGGTGACTCGCGCCAACAGCGATGCGACCGTAGCACCCGACAGGACCGGCATTTTAGGCCTCCTTTTACTCGTACAGCAGCCGGTCAACGGTCTTTCTTATATCGCGCAACATCTCTTTTAAATAAACTTCAAACCAATGTCATCGAACTGGACCCAGCGCGTTTCCAACGTACACTGAAAACAAAATGACACAAAAAACGACTAAAAACCCACAAGCAGAGTGTGTTAAATAGGCTTTCATGTGTATGAAAAAATAAAATCACTTAAGATATATTGGACAGGTATGTAGTAAAGAGCAAGTAGCATACGAATATATTCAAGTAGCAATTACATTTCGCGTATTTATATGTAATTGCTACTTGAATATATTCGTATGCTACTTGCTCTTTACTACAAAATCACTTAGCTTGACATCTAAATAAAGCTAAAATAGCTGTTTCTATCATTTTTTACCCAAGTGTAGCCCGAAAATAAGGAAAAATGAATTTGAACATTATCAAAACAGCTGTAATGAGCTTCATCGCCCCCTCAGAACTAGTTCATATCAAACACATTCATATTCCCTCATCCACTGGGCGTCGCCATCTTGAAAATAACGCTCGGAACAAGCTTTTCCGATTCCCGTATTTCACGTGAAATTCCACGGGTTTTCACGTGAAATTCCGCGTGGAATCCGCAAAGAACGCCTTGATTGCCGATTCCACGTGAAATTTCACGCGAAATCTGGGGTGCGTTCTTTGCACGGAAATTTCACGTGAAATTTCACGGCTCAGTCAGCTGATGCGTTTTTTGCGGACCGCACGGAAATTTCACGGCGCAATTGTCGCAGAGGCTTCATAAATTTATTTATTTATTTATTTATTTCACATCGTGAGGCAAATCCGTGGAAAAATACGGCTATTACATGCTCGAGTCAGATACAGAATGGGGGGCAATGATGATGAAACAAACACGCGGCATCACAGTTCACACAGTCGGATCAGACAAATTGACAACACATTCAGCATACATTTACCGCCGTTTACGTCACTTGCTCGCGCTCATGAAGGTGCTTTCTCAGTCTGGCCTTGAAAGCAGCCTGACCTACATTGCGCAGTGCTGGAGGAAGCCCGTTGTACTCCGTCACTGCGGAGTACAAAAAGCGGCGGCGTCCCGATTCCGTACATATGGCAGGGGTGGCTAGCTGTTCTCCACCACGAATGTCTCTGCCGTGAAGACTCGCTCGTGTCACAAGATTATCAGCAAGTTGCTGCGGCTCAGCAGTGGTAAGCATCTTGTTAACTAGTGCCAGACAGTGGTAGCTGTACAGGCTTTCAATCTGTAACCACCCCAGCCGCTCTATGACGTCACTCATGCGGTCATACCTCCGCCGGCCGGAGACCACACGCGCCGCAAACCTGATGACTTTCTGGAGCCGCCGGCGCTGCGTCACGTTGCTAGCGCCATACACAGCTAGACAGTATCGGATGACCGACAACACCAGCCCCTGCACCAGTGTGACAAGCACTGACTGAGGGAGACAATGCCTGCTGTGGCTGAGTCCACACAGAGTGCCAGTGCACCGCCGCACTACATCGGCTGTGTGCGTGACAAAAGTCATATCACTGTCGAACCACACACCAAGGTTTTTGACGGTGCTCGAGCTGGCGATGGTGGAGCCGGAAAAGTTGATGCTAATCGGAGGCAGCCGCCGTGTCATCTCACGGGTGCCGAGGACAATCAGCTGAGTCTTCGCAGCATTTATTTTCAGTCCGTTCTTGCCGTACCAGTTGGACAGAGAAGTCAGGCTGTCTTCGAGAGATTCCGTGAGACGGACGATGTCTCTCGGTGGGCCAGAGACGTACAACTGGACGTCATCAGCGTAAGCGATGGTGCTGGTCGACTCGTCGATGTAGAGCGGGAGATCGTTGGCATAGACGTTGTGGAGTAATGGCCCGAGGGCTGAACCTTGGAAAGTTCCAATAGGGTTGAGAAGAGGTCGGGAGATCGTACGGCGAAGCGACTGTCCGGCGGACTGCAGCTGCACGCGCTGATAGCGGTCGGCCAGGTAGCTACGGAACCAGCGCGTGTCCACTCCATAGAGCTGCAGCTTCCGTAACAGCGAGTCATGTGGAATGCAGTCGAAACATCGCGAACAATCCAACAAGCACAGCAGTGTCACTTCACGCCGGTCCATACATCGGAAGACATGGTCAGTTAGTGTGAGCAGTGCAGTGTCGGTAGAATGATTGGGTCGAAAGCCGTGTTGTGTGGGTGAGAACAGATGCTGGTCAGAAAAGTAAGAGTAGAGCTGTTCGGAAACAACTCGCTCGGTGATCTTGCCGATAGTAGTAAGAATAGATATTGGTCTGAAACGGCTAAAGTCATCGGATTTAGAAGGTTTTGGAATGGGGTGCACCAGTGTGAGTTTCCAGGGTTTGGGGACTGTATGTGAGGTGAGGCTTGAGTTCACTATGTGTGTCAGAACGTGGTAAAGTGAGAACAGACATCGTTTTATGAAACGGATACAAAGACCGTCCGCGTCACACGCCGAGGAGTCGCTCATGCTACCTATAACCGAATACAGGTGCTCAGGTGTGACAGGCGAGACCATGAACGAGCCGGTCGACACGCGCGGCAGACGGATCGGTAGCTCCGGACCGGAGCTATCTACTGACCGCGACGTTCTCACACCTATATCCACAAAGTAGTGGTTAAGAGCATCGACATCGACATCCTCGGCAGTCACAGTCGGTTTACCACATTGTTTGGACGCAACCACTGTCCGCACACTCCCCCATACAGAGGCCGGCCCGCGCTCGCGAATACGGCTCTCCACGGCGTCCCGAGTGTCCCGCCGTATAGCTGCTCGCACACGCCGGTTCAGCTGCCGGTAAAGTTCCCGGTCGCCGCCACGCAGCGCCGCGCGCCGCTCCGCCATCAGCTGTTTGGTAGCCTCGGTCACGGGCGGGGCGGTCGGGTTGCGCACCCTAGTCCGTCTCAGCGGTACTAGTTCGTCCAGCACCGGTCGAGTGACACTCAGGAAGTACTCCCACTGGGCGGCTGGATCGGCGCTGTGGTACACTGGGCTCCAGTCGATCCCCTGCAGCCGCTGGTTCAGCTCGTCAGCACTCGCTCGGCGCCAGCTCCGAGCTGTCAGCACGGTCGGTTTGGGACGTAGACCGGCCAGATTAAAGATCGCACGCGCCCAGTTGTGGTCACTGTAGTCGCAGTGAAGGGTGCCGTGCCGCCGTGTCTCGCCGTTGCTGCAGATCACGTCTATGGTTGAGCCGGAGCTGCGGAATGTCGGTCCGGTAATGTGCTGTCGCAGGGCGAAACCGTCCAGCAGTTGGTCGAACTTCTGCTTGGCGGTGTTGTTGGAGCGCATGTCAATATTGACGTCGCCAGCGATGATGATGAGGCCGCTGTGTCGGCCGGCGACGGTCTCCAGCTGCTCCTGCAGGTCGTCCAGATCGGCAGTGACGTCATCGATGCTCTGGCGCGGTGGCCGGTAGAACGAGCAGAAGTAGAACTGCTGGTCACCGGCGCCGACTTTGAGCCAGAGCGACTCGAGTTTCGAGCCGGGCGCCGGCCGGTCCGGGATGGTTATCTCGGAGGCGCGCAGCCCGTCTCTCACCACGGCTGCCACTCCCCCGGCCGGCCTGCCGCGGCCCCGCCCTCCGCCGACCGGTCGGTCCCGTCGGAACAGCCGGTAGCCCGGTATGGGAACATACCGACTGTCCTGGGACGGCCGCAGCCACGTCTCATTGATGGCTAAAAGGTCCGGTCCGTGGGTGTCCAAGTCGTGACGCAGAGACATAAGACTCGGGTTCAGTGAGCGAATGTTCAGCTGCGCCACATAGAGCTGGTCATCGATCGGGTGAGTCCTCCATAACCGTCCACCTCTGGATCCGCGCCTGCGCGTGCGGCCTCCCCGCCTCGCCGGCCTGACTCCGCCACTGCTGTCAGCTGCTGTGCCGACCCGGTTCAAGGTCACCGCCCGTGAGGCAGCTCGCCGGTGCCAGGCGTAGGGGGGCGCCGGGGACGGGGTGGCGACGGCGGCGAGCAGGCCAGTCAGAAGCAGGAGCAGCAGGAGACGCTGCAGTTGGAGATCCATGTGTGCACGCAGACAGTGATCGCAGCGGTAGAGAACGTCGTAGCAGCAGATGGAACGCCGTTGCAGGTAAGTCCGCTCCGCTCACATCACAACACTCGCTCGTCTCTCAGTCTCAGTCTCTCGTCATAAATGTAATATGCCCAGATTTGTGAAACATGCATTGGGCTTAGCGTTGCTTGTATTGTCAGTAAGTTACATGATGCATCTTAACCCGCGCCCTAGTGGCGGTCTCAGCCAACTTCGCCCTAGTGGGGGGGGGGGGCATATGTTACCACCCACCTCTAACTCAAAAACTAAGAGGGCTAGAAAGACGCGATAAAAAGCAGTCGATAGCTCGCAATGCGTACGTTTGAAAGTATTTCAGTCATTTTTCTTCTTAGAGCAATATTGGGGTCACCAGAGGTCATCAAAGGTCAAAATTTGCCAATTGTCATTATATTTTTCAGAAAACATGCCGTTATCTGAGGAACTATGGTAGCCAGAAAAACGAATGAAAAAGCAATCGATAGCTTTTGAACTCTTCTTTTGATAAGGTCATTATCAAACTTGACCTCAGGTCAACGGTTCAGCCTCCAGAGAGCAAAAACTCCAAAAATAGCTGTTTTTACAAGTGTTTTTCGACCATAACTTTCGACTACAAAAAGCCACGACATTTCTATTGCCAGAATCGTGTTCCTCTCGCCGAGACGTGTCGAATGAACTATAATTTGACCTTGAAAGGTCAACTTGAAAATTTGACCTCAGGTCAAGGTCATGACCTGACCGGAAAAGGTCATGCTGCATAGCAATCGATGGGTCTCAACAAGACAAACACAATGAGATCGTCCCCAGCGTTCTATCTCTTTCCAATCGCGAGTTATTGGCAAAAATCTGTTTGTAGCCTTAAATGACCTCGGATGACCTTTCTAGAGGCTATCAGCAAAAATGACACCTGGGTCATCACAAGTGGTCCAAATCATTGTGATTCTGAATATTTGGACTGTTCCTATGCGTACACACGGATCTAGAGGCATTTTCATTTTTCTCCATTGACTTGTAATGGAAAGGTCACGCCACTGACCTGACCTTAGGTCACGGATATAAAAAATCCGAGATATACAAATTGTAGGCGCCCATAACAGCATTCAATCCACCAAGTTTCAAACCTTTCTGACAAACACTGCACTTGCAGGCTGGACATGATTGCAAACTTTTTTAGGCTTGGTCAGTTAACTTGACCTGGTGACCTGACCTAACATGACCTGGGGTCAAAAATTTCACACATTGTCCAAAATTGATGTACCAAAAGCTACCCCAAGCGGCGCGGCGCTACGCGCCGCGGTTTTTTATTCACACGCAAAAAACGCGACAGGGTGGTAACATATGCCCCCCCCCACTGGGGCGAAGGTTAAGTGATAAGAGGCAGATGGAGTTTTTATAGAAAAGTCTCTGGTGTGCATACCTACAGCCAAGGCTATATAAACCAGGTAGAACGCTCCGGGAAAAAGTTGGAAACAGTAAATTAGTTGCGGCATTCCCTGATGACGCGAATGTGGGTCAGCGGCCGGCGGCCGGCGCACAGTGGGCCGGGCGGCCGCCAGGAGCGCTGGAAATTATTTGCGCTCGAGTTATCGTTCAACTGACTGTGAAAACATTTCATTTACAACGTTTAGCGAGATACCACACCAATAAGATGTAAATTCAAGACTTCTAATACCATGCATGCATGCATGTTGCAATTTGCATACACTGCACTTAGTTTACTGAGGAGTTCAAAAGGCGTCATTCCTGGTAAGATTTTAACACACTTCCCGGCACTCACAGTTTCTCCATTAATGACCGACACATGAATTGGTCAAGGATACAATCTTCTCTCTCTCTCTCTCTCTCTCTCTCTCTCTCTCTCTCTCTCTCTCTCTCTCTCTCTCTCTCTCTCTCTCTCTCTCTCTCCTCTCTCTCTCTCTCTCTCTCTCTCTCTCTCTCTCTCTCTCTCTCTCTCTCGTCTCTCTGTATCTCTGTCTCTCTGTCTCTCTGTCTCTCTGTCTCTCTGTCTCTCTGTCTCTCTGTCTCTCTGTCTATCTGTCTTCTGTCTCTCTGTCTCTCTGTCTCTATGTCTCTCTGTCTCTCTGTCTCTCTGCTCTTCTGTCTCTCTGTCTCTCTGTCTCTCTGTCTCTCTGACTCTCTGTCTCTCTGTCTCCCTGTCTCCCTGTCTCCCTGTCTCCCTGTCTCCCCTGTCTCTCTCTCTTCTCTCTCTCTCTTCTCTCTCTCATCTCTCTTCTCCTCTCTCTCTCTCTCTGCTCTCTCTCTCTCTCTCTCTCTCTCTCTCTCTCTCTCTCCCTCTCCTCCCTCTCTCCTCTCTCCCTCACTCATCTCTCTCCCTC